AATTTAGTGATTTTTGACACGCTATGGCGAACTCTCAGGAAAAAACAGAGTTCTCAGCTTAAAAATCTGCTTGAACTTTCAAAAAAGGAAAAAATCATATCATTTTGGGCCTAATTCTGTGTTTTTTTGCCTTGTTTTGCAATATAATTTGTGTAAAACATGCTACGATTCTCAAGAAATGCAAAATCAATGTAATTTTTGACTTGATATGTTGATTTTTCCGTTCGTTTTAGCCAAATCTCGCGAAAAACCTGAGATTGCAAGCAACGTACTTAAAAATATTCTCGTCTTATTATTGTCTTATTTTGCTCAAAACCAATCAAATTGAGTGAGACAAACAAAATACCATCAATATCAATTGTTTTTGTGATTTTGAAGCGTGTTTGAACAAGGTTTTGCAAAATAAATGAGCCTCTGGTTCTAAAACGAAGTAAGTCCAGCGAAAAAACATAAAAATAATATCAATTTCGATCTAATTTAGTAATTTTTTTCCTGCTTCTTTTTAGAATTTTCTTTGTTTTTATCTCAAAAACGTACTTGAAAAAGGGTAAAAATAACGCCGTTTTTGGTCGAATTTGTTGAATTTTTGCATTGCTATGTAATTGTGTTTCTAGCTGAAAAAGTATTCGAAAAAGACAACATTTTCGATTCTAGTAAAATCTTGTAAAAAAACAAACAGAACTATCTTTAACCAATTTGGTGGTTTCTCGACTTTTTGAAAAAACCTGACGAAATAATGAAGTTTTTGGTTGAAAACGTGGAACATACTCGAAAAACAGTTTTTTTCATCTCCAAAAAATCACCAAATACTAGAATTTTTACAAAAGTTTTCACCAGACTAACATGAACACCTGGCAACACTAACAAGAGGTCAAAAATCCCACTTTCACAAAAATTCCCTAATCCTTTGAGTGGATTAGAAATCACCCCAATAACCTTGGTTTCAGAGCACGGATCCGGAGCCGGTGGAAAAACCCCAAATTATCTATCAAAACCGGGATATTCTCAATCTGGGATCGAATATCGCATGGAAGTGGGATTGCAAAAGTGCAGTTCTACAAAACGAACCAAGTTATTTTTTTGAGAACAGATCTCAATATTCTCGAGTATTAGGTGCTAACATACCAGATCATGTTACGTCCACTTGCCCCGTAGAGGGTTGTTCCTACAAGGAACCCCACTATTTCTAAATGACAATTTATTGGTAGTCTTACCCAAACATGTTTCATTTAAAAGTTTGGCGAAACGTTCAGTATTTTAGCTTTCACACTTTTTTACGTTTGTACTTAATTGCCTAGATTTAATCTCATTTTAGTGCCAACTTATTAGAAACAAGTTGAGTTATACTATCACAGTGATATTTTTTTTCAAATTACCAGACCGAGATCAAAAATTTGGTTGTGAATTTTATATTGTTGTAATTTTGTGATTTTTGGTAGTTGGTAAGACTGAATATGTGATTTTTTGACAATATAATAAATAGCTATTTAGTTAACTTGTCGTATAGTTACCCCCACCCCACAAATCAGAGTTTCAACCCCCAATCCCACTTTCACTAGTTTCACTACTCAGCCTGTTTTTGAGAAACCCACAGGACCAATACAAACAAAATGTCTAGTCAAGGTTAGTTTTATCATTTTTGTTATTTCTTTAATTATTTTTTTTTATAATTATTTTAGAACGAACCCCACTTGAGACTCCCCGAAAATCGAAGCAAACCACCCGAAAAAGTCCAACTTTAGTGGCGAAAAATCTAGCACCGGTATTTGAAACCATTTTTGAAAAATCTTCTCCAGAGGTAACATTTTTCGTAATTTTTTTACATGATTTAATTTTTCGTTTCCAGGCCTGTATTGGGGAAAATTTGCCCGAAATTGGGACCCTCAGTATTGGGTATCACGGTCGCGATGTCCTGGATTTGGGAACTAATGTTGAATGGAATTGGGATTATCGCCCTTCCAGGAATGTTTACGTCGATAGGGATTTTTTCAAGTTTAGTGAAACAAGTGGTCGGTACACTGTTGTGCGGAAAATACGCGACAAAAATGGCCGCTATTACTTTTTCTACCCTGATGAAAATTTCTAACCAATTTTAACCGATATTTGAGTTTTTATAATTACTTGTAATTTTTTTAATATAAATATATTTTCTTTAAATGTTACACAGAGTTTGTTTAATTAACTCCTTCCACACTTGTTAAAAAAATTGTTGTTTTAATGAACTCTGTGTCCGAAACTAAATTATTTCAGATAAACATGTGCTATAAGCCACTTGTTGCGTTTAAAAATTCAGCAGCGCCATCGTTTGTGAAGCGGCTGAAATTCGTCCAACTGTTGCTTTCAGGAGCTTCGGAGAGTAAACTTGCATTTAGTACCGAGCTTTACCGCAGAGCGGCGCCACCTGTTACGTTATGAATTCATCGAGCTTTTTTCTTAGGATTTGAAAAGCAATTTAATTAAATAACAAAATTAACGAAAACAGATAGGGTAAGTCTGGGAGAGATGGACCACATTTTGGAAAATATGCGGTAAGTTTATGATCCTTATTTCAATTCAAACCAGGAATGTTTTTGTCATTTCTCCCGCTGGTCCATTGATTCCGAATTTATCCTATTTAGCTTCACTATAATTATGTCTAAAAACTTACTTTTGAAATATGTCTAATTTTTAGGAAAAAATAAAACAGTTTAATAATTTTTTTGTTGTTTCTCGCTATAGAATTTTTAAGTATTAATAGAATAATACATAATTTTAGATTTAAAAGTTGATACAGTAAGCAAATACATAAACTGGCAAACCTAAATACAAGAAGAAATTAGTTGTACAATTTTTTTTTATTATCAAAATTGCTTGAAATTATTTATTTTAGGATTTGGTATTATTAAAATTAACTTTACTTTCACTTATTTGCGAATTAAGTACTGGAATTTTTCTGGATTTACGGGATGTTTTTTGGAATTATCGGAGGTCATTATTTCTTTTAAAAATTACGTTAAATTTCTTAGAACTGTCAGGACTAATTTGGAATTACAAAAAGTATTTTGAAATTACGAAAATTAAGTTGGAATTACAGTAATTAATTTGGAATTGTAGGAATTAATATAAAAACTATGGAATTACGATGGATTATTGAAGTAACTAAAATTTCGGTAGAATTTTCTTAGAATACTGAAAGTTTTCTGGATTTACTGGAATTGTTTTGAAATTTCTTAGAATTTCTTAGAATTATCAAAATTAATTTGGAATTATAATTAATTAATTTGAAATTATAAAAACTAAGATGGAATTATAGGAATTAATCTAAAAACAATCAATTACGATAAACTACTGTAATTACTGGAATTTCAATAGAATTTTTTTACAATTACTGAAATTATTTGTAAATCACTGAAATTTTTCTGGACTTTTTAAAATCCTTTTCAGATTTACTACAATTCTTTTTGGTATTCTTAAGAAAGATAATTTCTTTTGAAAATTACGTTGAATTCCTTAGAACTATCCAAATTAATTTGCAATTAAAAGAATTATTTTGAAATTACGAAATTTAAGTTGGAATTACAGAAATTAATTTAGAATTATAAATTAACCTAAAAGCAATTGAATTACGATGAATAATTAGAATTACTAAATTTTCTGCGGGTTTTTTTTGGAATTACTGAAATTATTTTAGTAGAATTTTTTGTAATAAAAATTAGTTGTACACATTTTTTCCAAGTTAACGATGTCTCGCCTAAATATTAACGCTTTTGTAGCAAAGCTAAACAATGCAGTACATTTTTCAAAACAATGGAATTACGATGGATTATTGAAGTAACCAAAATTTCGGTAGAATTTTCTTAGAAATACTGAAAGTTTTCTGGATTTACTGGAATTGTTTTTGAAATTATCGGAGATAAATTCTTTTAAAAGCTAAGTTGGAATTATAGGAATTAATCTAAAAACAATCAATTACGATGAACTATTGTAATTTCATTTCGGTAATTTCGGTAGATTTTTTTTAAAACTTGAAATTATTTGTAAATTACTAAGGATTTTCTGGACTTTCTGAAATTCTTTCCAGATTTACTAGAATTCTTTTTGGTATTATTAAAAAAGATAATTCTTTTGAAAATTACGTTGAATTTCTTAGAACTATCGAAATTAATGTGAAATTACTTAAAAAACATCCACAAGATCATCAGTACCATTAAATAGACCTAAAAAAGTCAAATGTCAAAAAATTAATGTCAAAATTTTTTGCCAGAGAATTTTTTAAACATTTTTTCAGTACTCTGGGGGACTACCCAATTACTCCCTTTCAAGGAAGTGCGCAATTTTTTGAACATCCTGTATATTAAAGCTTTTGTAGCAAAGCTAAATAATGCAGCACATTTTTCAAAACTTAAGATGGAATTGTTACTTATTTGGTGTTTCAAAGCTTTAAAATTGTTAAGCAAATAAAAACTTGCTACTAGAGAAAAGATCATTATTTTCGTCAATCATTAATAAAAAGTAAACGAAATACCTAGTGTCTTTGAACCGGCGCCAAAATAAATATTTTTAATTTGAAGTTGAAAGACTAAATACACTTCAATTTGATGCTTTGCTAATTGGTTATACAAACTAATTAAAAAAAAACAAGATATTGAAATATTTTCTGAAACACCTGTATATGATAAAATTCCTCTAATTTTAAAATCATAATTGTTACAATGAAATAACGCAAAAGTTGAGAGGTTTTAAGTAATTTACATTTACATATTGATAAAAAGAGAATTTTTTAATATCTTTCAAAATTGAAAAAAACAATTATAAAAACATCATGTTGAACGTGTTTTTTGTTCAATCACCGAGCAAAAATTTTTTTAGTTTCATGATTCTCGAGTAAAAAAATATCTAAAATGTGAATTGATTGGAAAGCGATCCGCTATGGCGCGTTAGGTTTCAAGTCGTTGGGTAAAAAATCGTTCTCTTTAGCATAGCAGCGCGCTCCAGCAGCGTTTGAAAAGCGTGTCCTTTATTTACACAATTATATAAAAGTGACTTCTTTTATGCGGCATTCACGGCCGGTGCATTCGGCTATTCTTTTAGCCCCCATTGTGAACCACCACACGAGCATTGTGTATTGTTACCAGCTTCCGCTCTCCTCGCTCCTCGTCACCCCGCGACCGATGCGATGACTTTTTTGTGTTCATTTCCATTATACTTTGTATATGTGAAGGCTATTGTCTCTTCGCTTTCTTACATTTTAAGGGACCTTTACTTGATTGTCTTGTCGACCGACGACGCCTTTTGTTTCTCTGCACCGATAGTGGGCTTTGTCTCAAGACAAGTTAAGGTCAAATGGCACCAAAATACACTTGCGTGCGTCAAACGCACATAAAAATTTTAAAAAAAATTGCCCGGCGCATCCACCAAAATTACACACAAAATGGGTAAATCCAGAAGAAACCTGTGGTCCAATAAAATGTTATTTTATTTTTTTACACTTGTGTATTAAATAATTGGAGTAGTAGTTTATTATACAGAGTGTCCCAAGTTTTAAGGCCAGCGCAAAATATTTTCTAATTTTATATTTCTAAAAAAAAAAATGACAGAAAAAAATAATGACAGAACCCCACTCGATTTTTATTGTCCAAAACAGAAAAGTTTTTTGAAATTTAGTTAATTTAGGATAGCAACTTAGAATTTTACACTAGACTATACAAACCTTATACTGATGGAAAGCTTGTCAAAAGATCTTTTGATTGGTACAATAATAAATAGAGGGTGCCATTTGAAAAAAATGAGTTTTTGACATTTTTAATTTGTCATGTTTAAAAAATCGTAGTAGGCGCATGCCACTGAGCAGGTTGTTGAATAAACACTTAAAAGATGCGGCAAACATTCAGGAATCAAATGGCGTTACTTACTTTAACTTRTGTGCAAGCATTTAKAAAATACGAATTTTTAGACAGACCCCTGCATTTAAAAAATTCTGGTGAAAAAGCGCCACAAATCAAAATTGATAACAGTTAAATGAAAACAACCTCTATAAAAGTTATTTGTAATTTAGCGTAGAATCCAAAAATAAAATCAAACTGAGTAGATTCCATTTAAAAAAACAAAACTTTAGTGTTTTTTTAATATTGGAACACCCTAGGGTATATAAACCGAAATATTTTTAAAATGTACATCAAACAGCTAGCTATAATCTAAAAAAAAGAAAAAGTCAATATCTCTTAAAATAAACAAGTTATAGAGCTTTTTCGGACCGTTGGGACAGCCTGTATGTTATAATATTATATAGGGGTTCAATTTTTGCTTTTTCCAAAAAAGGTAGTTATTAAATTTTTATCGAATTAAATGTATTTTTTTTGTTTTTTAATTTTGTCAAAATTAACAAAATGTCAAAATAAATGTTTATGTAGTTATAAAATACGATTTGATTGACGACGTGTCTTATGTTTCTTGGCATTTTGTCAAATTTAATATTATTTTGACAAATTGCTTCATATTAATTTCTGAATTTAGTAAAATTTCTAATTTAATATTTATTTAATAAATGTTATTTTATTTTTTTACACTTGTGTATTAAATAATTGGAGTAGTAGTTTATTATACAGAGTGTCCCAAGTTTTAAGACCAGCGCAAAATATTTCTAATTTTCTAATTTTATATTTCTAAAAAAAAATGTTGATAGTGTAAATGATAAAGGATTTATTTTGATATTGTACAAAATTTTTAGCGTATGGCAGTGGGACCTGAAAAATTAAATTTGGAGAAAAAAATTTCAATTAACTAATTACGAATTTTTTGAGTTTTGAGCGATAGTAACATCGTAAAAATAGTCAATTTATCTTAAGTCGTAAAACGCTTGAAATATACTTTTCTGGACGTAAAATTCCGCACTGAACACGATGCAACAAGTTAAAATACCCTACGATGCATAGTTTTTGAGATATTCAGTAATACACTTAAGAATAAGGCTAGAAGCATAAGTACCGATTTTGACCAAAAAATCAAAAATTTTTGATTCTTATGAAAAACTAGTACTGTATGTAAAATTAACCGGATTTTTTTGAATTTTTTGAATTTGAATTTTTAAACGCCGATTACGGCGAAACTGGAGGAGATAGCTCCTCCAAATGCTTGGCAAATTCGTAATCAACGCGTCAAAATCTATCGGATATTTTGATAGTTT